TTTGTCGGGATATCAATTGAGTTCTCAGAATCAATCAATTGGATTATGAAAATTGATATTACTTACATTAAAATCAAAAGTTTCTTTTAACTGGCAGAAGTTGTGACGAAAGTTTTTCCATTTAGCATATGCTTTCTTGATTTTTGAATTCACTAACGGGACAAAGGTTGTTATCTGCTCTGTAGAATCACTAGGAAGGTTGTGGTATTAGAATTACTAATTGGACTTTGCTACAATCGTCTTTTATTCCTTGTTATTCCTTTCGTTTTCACTTCAGAATTGTTAGGCATGTGCCGAAAATCAGTTTAATTATTAAGGTGTTGCGTGGTTAAATTGTATTAATGAAAGTTTTTTCAGCAAAAGCAACGAGGATGGTTGTGACACCAAAAATGTTTTCATACAAGTTACAAATACACTATCTGTTATGTGTCGATCTACAAGAGAAAAAATTCACCTTCCTCCTCAGCAGGAGGTAATCTTAGCTATTTTGGCTCGGCTTGTCGAACTGCTTTCCTCAGCACATATTGAGAAAGGTATTTCTTTCAAGAAAATCAATTTTCGACGTAAAATGGGATCTGTACTTTCTAAACTGAATTTCTTTATTTTAGAGATGCTGCAGTCGTCATACGCAAAAATATGCGGTAAACTGTCATTACCGTCACTGAGCCGCGATGATATATATCTAACTCTTTCCCTTCTTGAGACAGAAGACTTAATTAGGTGCAGTAATAAAAGTTGTCAACTATTAATAGATGCTAATTCTGTTCGCGATCTTATTGGGGACTCTCTTCTTGTACAGAACTTAGGTAAAATATCTGAGGTCGATTTGTTGGACCCATGATTTGTTCCTTTGATGCTTTTTTTGGGAAGAAATCATTTTAACTAACAGGTAGGAAGACAGAGCCTCGACTCACGTCGTTTTCATTGTCTCTAAAAAAGAAGAAAATGAGTTTTCCAAAGTACTATAATGGGGCGTACGAGAGTTATAGACATTTGAAATCGTTTTTTCATGGGGTGATTCTTCATGAAATTCCGTCGAGATATTTAGCCATCTTTTAAATATTTTAATTAGAAGATGATCTTTAGCTTTCTCACCGTCTGTTTTTTATTTTTCACTGAACCTGGTTGGACTTTTGTTGTAAAGTAATCAGCATTGCTGACAGTTTTCTCGATTTTCTTATAGTCACTATTTATCGTAGTTTTTTGTTGGAATCGGTTTTAGGTTTGTCAGAGACAATGGAAACAGTACATAGAGTGGCATTATCTTTACTGCTATCTAGCTTAAATAGTTTTTTTTTTGATTTGTTGCTGGTGGTTCTCTGTTTCTATATCTTTTTGTTAAAGTGGCACTTTGCTTTTGTCGCATTTTGTATCTTTTTGTGTATGCCGTAGAAAATTTTTCTCTTTTGGAGCATTAATTTTGTTGTTTCTTAATTTGTATCTTTTTTGTTTCATCTTGTTGTTGATAGTTTTTTGCTCTTTATCTATTTGTTAAAAAGAAATCTTGTATCTTTTTGTGCTTGTATAAAGGCTCCTCACTTCTGGTACGTTACTTTTGTTGTTTTTTTTATTTAAACGATTTCTTTTTGACTTTATTGTTGTACTTGCCTGCTTTTGTGCCTATTTGTTATTTTGAAATTTCATTGTTAGATCTTGTTTTTCAGTGCGTGTGCTAGGAAGGTCTTCTTTAATTTGTCTGCAGTTTGAAGTTTTGTACGGATTTTTCTCTTGGAGACCTCATTCTGATTTGTAAGGTTGCACAATATATGAAGTATTTTGCCTACAAGCTTGTGGGTCTGTTTTGTTTTTGTTTTTTCTAGGGGAGGTGATAAGTCCCCTCTATGTATTTACAGTTGGTTTTGCGTCCTGGGCAAAATTGATGGGTTAGAGAAGTTTCCTTGTTCTCAAAAAGGTTCAAAAAGTTTACAGTAAAATGGCCTAAATAATGATACAGTGCTTTTGAGTGGGACTTGGAAGATCATTGCTTTTTGGAACGGGGGTATGTGAGAAATGCTGTCTGGTATAACGGTTCGCGCTGGGACTTGGCTTCATATTGGTGCTCTCTCTTCCAGGTTCTGGTGGTAGTTTTGAACTTTATTTATTACTTCAGTAAGTGCTGGAAGGATGAGACCACTGACTGGCGAAGAGACTCAGGCTGTGTTTCAAAAGTTGGCAAATTTCATAGGCGAGAATGTGAGACTGCTGATAGAGAGAGACGATGGTAGATACTGCTTTCGGGTCCACAAAGTAGGTCGACGTTCACGATGTTTAATCGCGAGGTGGTTGAACTGAAAACGATCTCAGTGTAGAGACCGAGTAGTTTAAAGCAGGTCATGGTGCCCTCACATTTTTCTGGAGGTCTTTCTTGGCTGTGCTTTCAGGACCGAGTTTACTACTGTAGCGAGTTTCTCATGAAACAAGCAGCTTGCATTGCAAGGGAGCCATTACTCAGTTTTGGTACTTGCTTGGGGAAGTTCACAAAAACGAAAAAATTCTACCTTCACATCACTGCTTTAGACTACATGGCACCATATGCTAAGGTGGAAGAAATAATTTTTTTCAGCTTCTTTTATTTATATTGTTTTTGTCGTGCTTATGTAAATCATATATATATATA